ACTAGCAGCATTAACAGCAGCAATAGCAGCAGCAGCAGCAGCAGCAGTAGCGGTGGTGGTGGTGGTAGTAGCTTGATATTTACGCAATTCAATATATTCAGGAGTTTCCAAACCACTAGGAACACTAGAAATTCCACTTGGTGTTGCAAGTCCTTCTTGCAATGCTTTAGATGCAGCACTTTCATCTTCTCCTTCTTGTTCTTCTTCTACCTCTTCCTCCTCTTCTTCAGATTCTAAAAAAAAAAATTGTGATAATAAAGATTATTTATAATAATTTATAATAGTTTAAAAATAATTATCATAATTTTAAAGATTAAAAACTTTGCCAACCTTCTTCCTCTGCCTCTAATTCACCCCATAAAGAGCGTTCAATAGGTTGTACAATCTAATAATAATAATTTTTTATTAATAAATTATTAAAATTATTTCTTAAAATATGTAAAAGCATAAAACGACATATTAATATTACTTCTGATGGAATTTCTTGTTGATATGTTCCAAATACATCTCCATATAATGGACGATTATACTATATAATGAAAAATGATGGTTAAATTTAATACAAAATAATACAAAAAATAATAATAATACAAAAACGTGATCACGAAATTTTTACCTCATCTACTGGAGGTTTTCCCCAACCACCAGGATGAAATCCCCACTGAGCCCTATATAGAATCCCATATTAAATAAGAGTCACCGCAGTTAAACATAAAAAATTCCTAAAGTACATTACCCTTCTGGAATTGGCGCATTTAATCCAGGAATTTTCAGATTAGGATAGCTAGGTGGTGGACCATATCTTTGCATTGCGATAAGCCATGGAGGTGGGGCAAGTGGTGGCATGTTCAAGGCTGCTTTAAGCTCTTCTGAAAGTTGTCCCGGTTTTTTTTCTTTAAGTTTAGTCTCAAATTCTTTTCCTTCATAATACCTTTAACAAATAAAATTAAATCCTTTAATTCTCATTAAAAAAAAAAAGAAAAAAAAAACTAATTCGGAAGTAAGT